TGTGTGTGTGTGTATGTGTATATAGGCTGCAGGGTCAAAGGATCAAGGTCCTACTCTTGTGAGAGTCGTGCTTCTTTCTCCTCCCTGCTCGGTGAGAGGAAGTGTAGCTTATTGATTAGCTATCAGATGATTCCGATAGGGCCTGATCGATAGGACTTTGTATGAAAGCCAGGCAGGACCCTCCCTCCTCACTCAGGCACACACCCATGGATCGGCCACTGCAGTGCACAGCTGCACAGACGTCTGATTGTTTGTTTGTTCTCCTGAAGATTCTCCTTTGTGTCTTGAGTCTGCCCCTCTAATCGAAGGTTTCCTCAAGCGCTCCAGCTGTTTTCTTTAGCTCTACTTTCATAGAGTTATCATTGATAAGTTAAACTTGCAAACTTAGCTGAGCATGGTGATGTCTCCTGCTCAAAAATGTACATCAATGTGCTGGGTGGAAGTGCACCAGTTTAAATGTGTGGAATAGGCAGGTAACACTTTGGACAAAGAACTTGCAGCTGTATTGAGAAACTGAGAAAGATTCATTGATGTGTTTCCAGCATGCAGACTCCATAGCATCAGTTTCTTATTATACAGTCACAAACAGTTAACATTATTCTTGTGGTTATTTTATTCCCAGATTGAGACTTCCACCTTTAGCAGGGAGGTGAAAACATTACAGAAGTCTCATGTGTGGAATTACTCTCTTCAGGATCATCATTGAAGCAGGTTATGAGACTTTGCAATAAAATAACCATCTTAAGAAGTTATTTCATATAGAATTCCTTTGAATAAGATGATATTTCAGTAGCAGTGGAGGGTGACACAATGCGAGAGTCAGACATAACTTGAGAGACCAGGAGAGGCAGAAATTGTCTTTTAGTATATCCAGTGGTGGCACAGCTCAACAGGAAGTCAAGTGGAAACCACAAACACCGAAGGGAAGACTAACTAAATAACTTTCTGAGGTCTAACAACAGACAGAGGGAAACTAAACAGCCGACACACTCACTGGCTGGGAAATATAACGATTCAAAGCTGAACCAGGCAGATACAAGAGTAGGAAGTGGCGTTTGTCTCTCACAGAGGCTCATGTCAAGGCTCAGCAGCTGGAAGACTGAACACACATGGAGAAAATATGTTCTATAATTTATTAACAAGCAGGCAAATTCTCATTCGTGCCGAATAATTCCATGGATACTTCACCAAAGATAGAAACATAGTGGCCTGAGCCAGAGCTGGATCAGCACCACGGACAGCAGCCGATGCAATCCTTTGTTATCATTAATATTTTTTTACATTGTAGCTGTGGTGTTGCTGTTAAGTCCCATTTAGTTTGGCTATAACTCAATCACTTTGTATGTAATAGATAAATGTAACTGTCCTCAGGGTCACAGCACCAAACAGCATCTAAACACAGATGTGTTGATTTAGAGGAAAGAAATACACTGGAGAGTTTTATAAAAAAAATTCTCTGCTTGTTTTCTCACTTGATTCCTTGCTGGGAACCACACAGAGTGTGTGTTTGTGCTGTATCTCTGTTCCAGGTATGTCCTGTGCTGTGAAAGGACAGTGATAAGACACCTGTACTCTGGCTGCAGTACAGATTATAGCAGAGCAGGACACCGGTATCAGTTTCTGCACAGGTCACGTCTGTGTGCAGGAACGGCATGTTTCTGACTGAATGTGTGAATGTGTGTTCTGTGAGTATGCCTGCATAGAAGGAGAAAAACAGCATATGGATTAAATGACTTGGAAAAACATCATAAATTGTGGTGTAATTCAGAGGCTTTATATGCAGAACAACAGTTATTCTGCTGCTTTTTCTGCATCACACATGGGTGTGAGAGTGCAGGTCATCTGTGGGATCGGCTGGTCTGATCTGACATAAAGCAAATGAATAAAGCATTTTAATAAATGTATTATTAAACACACTGTAATGCTGATGATTCTTAGTACACATTGAATGCATTTTTCTTCTCTCTTCTACGTTGTCAGATTTCAGTGTTTCAGTGTGCTGACACACTTGTCAGCTACCTACACAAATATCCCCCCTAATGGGCTCCAAATAAATGGATTTCCACTTTCTATGTCTAAAAAGATGTCACACAAATGTTACTCTAAAACAGATCTTTATTAAATGTTCTTTCTCATTGTTTTTTTTACAGATATCATGACACTGGAATGCTGATGTTTCAAGAGCAACCTACGGCACCCAGACTGCCATAAAGCACAATGTCTCAAAAGCGTCCTAACAGTGGCTTACAGGCAACCCAACAGCCAACCCAAAGCCAGAGTTCAATATTAAAACAATGACGATAAAATAAAAACAGGAGACTGAAATCACTCATATTCTTCTGCTCCAACAACAAGGGAAGAAACACAGAAATTAAAGATCCCGGACTCTGGAAATAAGATTCTCCGCCATCTGTATTTGCTATTCATATGGACAAAGATCATCCCAGAAATACCTCCAAATTGTAATTTAGACTTACCAGAGTTTAGATTATTAATACGTAGGTTGAGAAAAATAGCAAACAGAAAAAATATGATGTCCACAGCCCTTTAGCACATGCCCAGAAATCAGGATATTGTAAATATATGTACAGAAAAGGAATAGGGACACTGATGAGAAATACAATTATTGCAGAATAATGTAAATAGCCATAAGAATCATACCACTCTAGTGTGTTTGTATATCCATGAGTGTCACATTCCCATTACTCCTTATTTCTTCTATGCCCAAAAAGATTTAGCACAAAGATTAACCAACGCTCTCTGTATCTCAATAGGAAACATCAACATCTACGTAGAACTAGACAAGAGGATACTGAATATACAGACATTAACTGGGAAGACACAATATTTGCCACATAGTGCACTATTGCTGGAAACAGATGCATATGCCACATGGTGTATGCTTATTAGGAAACCCTGTATTGTTATCAAGACAGGTAATTAGCTTCTTTGAACTTCGCTCTTTTAAATAGACAGTCGTGAAATGGAGAAGACTTGGGAGAGTTATAAACAGAGATAAACAGAGATAGAACAAACTTTAAGAGATCCCTGAATTGGTCCCAAATCTTCTCCCGTCCCCACCTCCCATTGTAAACTACCACAGCAGAGCTGAACACAACTCAAACTTTAATTTATTCAATGGAGTGTATATGAAACCCCTTCCTGTACCGTATATGTAATGTTTAAGCCCCTATAGTGACGTAACATATCCAGATGGACTTCCGTGGTTTGGCAGCTCTCTTGTATAGAGTACAGTTACATTTTATTCAGTTCACAACTAACTGGACATCACCGTGACCTGCCATCCTTCCTCTTTGATTCCTGTTCGGCTAGTCCCCCTCCTCCTCCTCCTCCTCCTCTGTCCATCAGAGGGCCTGTATGCCTGCAGACCTCTCTGCAACCAGGCGCTCGCTGAGCTCCCACAGGCTGACAGCGCTGCTCTGGTCCTGGGCCTGGATGGATGGCAGGCAGCGGAAGCAGTTGTTGAAGTACATGCCACCTAACCCCTCCAGCTCCGGAGCCATGGCACAGTACACCGTGGTGGCCGCCCCTTGTTGCTGTGGACAGAGAAACACACAGAAAGAGATACGAGTTCAGTGGGCGGATCATTGAACTGAGGCAACGAGACGGAGTCAGCCTGCAGGAGGAGACAAAATACAGAGAACTCATTTACTGACGCACAGACATTAGGACGTGTCCTGTCCAGAGAAACAGAGAGGACAAACAACGGACACCGACCACATCGCTATGTCCTCTGTGAGACACACATATCTACACATACACATACAGACACACGCACACACAGACAAAAACGAGACAGCAGGACAGAGTGTCAACAGGAAAAAAAAAAAAGACTCCACACGCTGTCTCTCCCCTCTCCCTGCAGCCCATGATGACTGGGTCATATTACCATGGGAACAGCATAACCCCATACTGTACATATATTTATATACATATATTTATTTATTTATTTCTCTACCCGGTGTGTACAGGACCTCTGGCTATATGGGACCATGTGAATGCTACAGATGTATAGACTCACAGTGGAGAAGGTCAGAACTATGACAAGAAAATTTACACCAGCTCCTGTCTGGATGGGAATCACCAGGGAAACCACAGCTTTTATGTATATTGTAAAAGTGCAGGTTTTAATGCCTTGGTTATGAATATGTATATTTTCACATGACGTGTATATGGGTTCAGCCAGGCTTTCAAAGTTGAGTATTGGAAATGATGCAAGTACAATTCTGTACCTAAGTGTTTAAAATCAGAAGTGATATTTTCACATACAATACACAAACACAAACACAAACACACAAACACACACACACACACCACAAGGCTTTCCCTCTGGCTCTTTCTCAGTAAATCCTTTTCTAGGCAAGTTTAAATCTGAAAATCACTCAAGTCTCAACCCCAGAATCTGACTCTGTTTCATGTCATCTCAAACTTTGACGCATTGTGAAAGTAACATTGCAGTATTTGGATGGAACCTGCTAAGTTCTACTAATATACCCTGTGCCATCAGTCAGTAATTAGTAGGGATATTCTTGGAGGAGGGAGATTTCTGTGACATTTGAAAATGAAAGTTGAAACTGCAGCAGAATAAACACGTCAGAGAGAATTACACACATAACCCAACTGCTCAAAGAGGGATCTTTCATGTTGCAGCTCCAGCTAAAAGCTGCTGTGACAGCTTCCCTGCAAACTCCGGGGCTGGAGACGACTTCTATATGGCCACATGAAATGGCTCGCCTCTTTATCTCCCAATGAGAGGCAGCGACAGTGAGATGGGGGGAGGGAAGGGGAGTGAGAGGGAACACTGATGTGAAGACTAAGGACTAATGTTTAGCACAGAGCACTGGCACACAGTGAGACAACCCCGTACGCAGCAGTCAAACACGGGCAAGACACAAACATACAAACACATGCATTATGGAGCCATATTACATGCCAACTGTTTGAACAGCTTCTTAAAGCAGCTGTGAAACCAACACACATGAAGTAGGAAAGATCATACTTTCACATACAAGTACAAAAATATGCACACGAACCAGATTCCAAGAAATATTTTTCTCATTAACACACACAAACCCACACACTCACACAACCACACTTACACACAACCCCCTCTAAGCTCTAAGTAAACTTCCGCCAGGAGGAGCCCTGGTTGGTAACGTCGCAGCAGCAGATTGAGTGTGTTTGAAGCGCAGTGTGATGAGAGAGCTGGTAAACAGCAGATGAAAAGGCAGCATCTCTCTGTGCGCCGCTGTCTGTCTCACCTGCCAGCAGGGCGATAACTTCATCCACATCACATGTTGCCATATCAAAGACAGACAAATGCCAAGCAGTGTCTCTGAGTTGCAGGTTCACACACGCTCAGTTTAACTCATCTCCCTTGCTTAGGGCATCTGATTTAGCTCGTCTGAAAGCTAAATGACTTTTAAACTCCACTGAAGATTTCAGTGCTGCAGGCTCTGACTCGCTGATGCCCCCTTGAACTTGGCTGACTTTCAAAGCAGTTTGTTTGTGTCCAGTTACCAAACACTGGTCCTGCTGTAAGTTGAAATATTGATAAAAAAAAAAACTTTCATGTTCATAATCCAGATTTATGTGGCTGACTTCATTCTTTAATTTATTTTCCTAGAACAGCAAGTCTGTACAACTGTTTTTCTATGACCTGCGGCAGTCCAGTTAGCAGTGCATGGATCAGTACACGGACTGTGCTGTGCATCCAGCAGTGTGCTATCTTATTGGTGTTTAGCTCATCCCCCTCACCACTTGACCTTGTGACCTCTGTAGAAGATAAGGCTGATGAGATTAGGCATTAACATGCTCAACCACCCACCACAGCCATCTATCATTGTGTGTATGTGTGTGTGTGTGTGTGTGTGCGTTTGCAGACAAGAGGTGTGTGGGGTACTGAGAAAGAGAACAAGAGGGGGGTGTGCATCAACCTTGATACACAGTTACACATACAGTATTCAAATGTGCATGTCTTACCATGAGCATGTGCCTGCACACGAGCACGAACGGATACGCAAATAAACACTCAGAACAATCTACATGAAAGGTAATGTCACTGAACCAGTGTGCATCATATACATCTCTGGCATAACAGCCATTTCTAACCCATGTGAAACTGTAGATTATGCCTGTAAACTTAGCTGTCTACAAACTGATGGATTTTGCTGTGTGTCTTTCTATCTTCTACAACTAAATGTGAATCCTTACCTTGTGTACAGTAGTTTTCCGACAAACATCTGTGAGTTGTTCTCTACTACGCAGAGCTGTAGACTTGGACTTGCCTGACAGCTTGACTTGACATGAGACTTTAAAACAGTTCTGACTGGATACATTCTCACTGATAATATAACAATAATGTCCCGCAATTTGCCATGTTGCAGGTTATTGCAAAGGTTTTGTAGCTGTGATAAATAAAGCGCATTCACTTAATCATTGTGATTACGTTTATGATTGTCTGGTTGCCCTGCATATTGCTGCGCAATTCAGAAAGCCAGTCACATGGATCTACTTCAAATATTTTATTATGGGCCCTCCAAGTCATCTTTGTCAAATTTAAAGCTATTTCTTAGTATTATTTAAAGGATCTAACAAAGTGCATTGAGGAGATCTGGTTAAAGCTATGTAAAAACAACATTTAAAAAGGTGTTCACTAGTGCCATGTCATTAATGAGCACAGTCAGCATTCAGAGGCAATGAAGACTTGAGACTTGACCAGGACTTCAGACTTGGACATTCCCCAAAAGAAAACCAGCTCTGCTACTACCACACTGATTTAGGGAGGGAGGGGAGAAGATGGGACAGAAGAAGTGCACCCAAAACAAGCCTAAATCAAAACTGAACCTCTAATCTAAAACTAATGCATAAAGATCACAGCACCACAGCAATATGACAAACCAAAGGAGCAGGACAGAACCAAGTGAGAGCAGATTTTAATTACTTTGTATATCTGATTCTGTGGGTAATAAATACACACCCAAATGCTGAGAGAATACTCACCAAACACCCTGCAATAAGCTGACTGTAGATAAGCAGGAACGAGCCTGGGATCCACTACTACGGCTCTGGAACTGCTCTGGGATCAGATCCAAGTCTTCCAATCGACTCAATACCCAAGGACCTCATGGACTTGCAATAGAAATGTCCTTGTATAGTGTTACGCAATAATCAGTTGCTGAAAACTCCTTATTGAGCGTATTCAAAAGCAAAAAGGTTTATGTGGGGAGATGTGATGTTGTTGAATTACCAGTAATGTTACTTTGCTGTGTTCTGTTCTGTGTCTCCATTATCCAAGTTGTACTCAGCCGTATGAGCTTTCTCTGACCCTATGCATGTGACCCTTCACCCCCACATCTGTAGTTATGACACTGACCTCTCCCTCTGACCTGGATGTAAATAAACCCAGTACTGTAGAGCAGTCTGTTTTTGGCCCATTCCTGTACATACAAACATGTAAATACAAACAGCTATGCATGCTGAAAACCTAGCAATTCTTTCAGGTACTTTTATAATCCCCAAATTCTCATATGGCATGTGCTGAAAAAAAAAAAAAGAATAATTTAAAAAAGTAAAAAAAAGAAAAGATTAAAAATAAATGAGTTGATAATATTGTCAGGCAATATCCTCTCTTGGACAGTGTGTGTAGAGTCTTCCTGTTTTCTTACTCCTGTGGGTGGTTCTCTTCCTTTGCCTGTCCTTCTGTGTTTCTGCTCACCATCTGTGTCAGTTGTTGTCAGTTGGCATTTGTACAGCAGCGAGGGTTGAGGCAGAGCAGAAAAGAGAGGGGGAGCATTCACCAGCTGACCTCTGTGATGGCACTCCAATTCAGCAGCAGTGCTAAATGTTGGCAAAGCCCCTTATGCCTGGGACATAATTTGAGAAGTTCAGTTCCTGGCATGAACCACAGATCATTACAGCATATCCATGCTTGTTATGTGGAGGCCCTCTGGATATGCAGCAGGTCAAGAAAACAGTTTCGGGTTGGAACCAAAAAAGTTTTTTTTACAGCCTGCTTGAAGTTTGGTAAGCTGTCAATCACAGACAGCGCAGAAGCGGCACCCTGTGATTTGAAAGACCCACGCTATAGTAAACAAGTGCTGATAATTTCTTGCAAATACTATTTTAGTCACATTTTAGGAGAACAGACATGTTGAACTACAATTCTTTTCTCATCTATACCTGGTAAATACCTGAATTCTTAAAGGTACTTGATGGATGAAAATTATTTTCTACAATCCAATGTGACAAGGCTACAGCATGCATTTGGAAAGTATTTCCTGGCTTGTAGCTCCAGTATAGGGATCAAGAGGAGTGCAGTTTTTGCCTCAGCCCTCTGCCCAGCCTCGTGGACTAGCTATCCTGAAAGTGGGATTCCAAAGGGATTGTGATTCTGTTTCAGGAATGGTTTTTTTTTCAGTCTGTGATGTTTAAAATAGATGGAGGTGTCTGATTTTTAATCTGTGCTAAAGATATTTTACATTTAATAAATAATCATTGAAATCAAGAACTTCCTCTGTGTATATGTGCAGTTTAT